TACATTATCCACCAACGAACAAATACACTTTCTTCTCAGCAGCACATGGATCCTTCTCTAAAATAGACCATATGTTATGCCACAAAGCAAATCTTAGTAAATACAGAAAAGTAGAGATACCACCCTGCATTCTATCAGACCACAATGGAATAAAATTAGAAACCAATGATAAAATAAAAAATAAAAGCTTTTCCAACACCTGGAGACTAAATAATACACTATTGAATGAACAATGAGTTGCAAAAGATATCAAGGAAGAGATTAAAAAATTCTTAGAAGTAAATGAGAACATCTACACAACATCAAAATCTCTGGATACTATGAAGGCAGTTCTAAAGTTCATTGCATGGAGTTCATTCCTTCAAAAAAGAAAAAGTCAATAAATAAATGACCTAACATTACATCTCAAAACCCTAGAAAGAGAACAAATCAACCCCCAAAGCAGTAAAAGACAGGAAACAATTAAAATTAGAGCTGATATCAATGAAATTGAACCAAAAGAAACAATTGAAAAATTTGACAAAACAAAAAGTTGTTTCTTTGAAAAAACAAATAAAATTGATAAACCATTAGCCATGCTAATAAAGAGAAAGAGAAAACTCAAATTACTAACATGAGTGATAAAAATGAAAATATTACAATGGACACTACAGAAATATAAATGATAATTACAAATTATTTTGAAAATTTGTATTCCAATAAAATAAAAAATATCAAAGACATCGACAAATTTCTAGAGGCATATGATATGCCCAAACTAAATCAGGATGATATACACAATTTAAACAGATCAATTTCAAGCAAGGAAATAGAAGACACCATCAGAAATCTACCAACCAAGAAAAGCCCAGGACCAGATGGATATACAACTGAGTTCTACGAGACCTTCAAAGAAGAACTAACACCAATACTTCTCAAACTATTTCATGAAATAGAAAAAGAGGGAACATTTCCAAACACATTCTATGAGGTCAATATCACCCTGATTCCAAAACAAAAGACACTTCAAAGAAAGAAAACTTCAGACCAATATCTCTAATAGATGCAAAAATTCTCAATAAAATTCTAGCAAATCAAATACAAAAAAATATCAAAAAGACAGTACATCATGATCAAGTAGGGTTCATTCCAGGAATGCAAGGTTGGTTCAACATATGGAAATCAAAAATGTAATTCATCACATCAATAAACTCAGAGATAAAAATTCTATGATCATCTCAATAGGTGCAGAGAAAGCATTTGATAAATGTTCCAAACGCTTGAAAAACTAGGGATAACAGGAACATACCTCAACATGTAAAGGCTATCTATGCTAAGCCCCAGGCCAACATCATTCTAAAAGCAGAAAAACTGAAAGCATCCCCTCTAAAAACTGGAACAAGATGGATGCCCTGTGTCACCACTTCTATTTAACAGAGTAATCAGACAGCTTAAAGAAATTAAAGGGATATGGATAGGAAAAGAAAAACTCAAATTAACACTATTTGCAGACGATATGATTCTATACCTAGAAGACCTAAAACATTCCACCAGAAATCTCCTAGAACTAATAAATGAATTCAGAAAAGTAGCTGGATATAAAATCAACACCCATAAATCAAAGGCATTTCTGTACATCAGTGACAAATCCACTGAAAGCGAAACTAGAAACCAGGAAAAACACCCCATTTACAATAGCCTAAAAAAAAAAAAAAAAAAAAAAAACACTTGGGAATAAATTTAACAAAAGAGGTGAAAGACCTCTACAATGAAAACTACAACACGCTAAAGAAAGAAATTAAAGAAGACCTTAGAATATGAAAAGATTTACCTTTTTCTTGGATAGGCAGAATTAATATTGTCAAAATGACCATACTACCAAAAGCACTATACAGATTCAATGCAATCCCAATCAAAATCTCAGTGTCATTCCTTATATAAATGGAGAAAGCAATCATGAAATTCATCTGGAAAAATAAAGGACCCAGAATAGCCAAAGCAATCCTTAGCAAGAAGAATGAAGCTGGTGGCATTACTATTCCAGACCTAAAACTATACTACAGAGCAACAGTAACTAAAACAGCATGGTACTAGCACCAAAATACACCTGTAGACCATTGGTACAGAATAGAGGACACAGAGTCTAACCCACATAACTTCAGTTATATTAGACAAAGGCACCAAAAACATACATTGGAGAAAAGATAGCCTCTTCAACAAATGGTGCTGGGAAAACTAGAAATCCATATGTAACAAAATGAAATTAAACCTCTACCTCTCACCATGCACAAAACTCAACTCAAAGTGAATCAAGGACCTAAGAATTAAACCAGAGACCTTGCACCTAATGGGAGAAAAAGTAGGTCCAAATCTCCATCATGTTTCAGGCCCCAACTTTCTTCATAAAACTCCTATAGTGCAAGATTAAAACCAATTGGGATGGGGGCTTCTTCTCAGCAAAAGAAACAATCAGTGAGGTGAATAGAGAACCTACAGAATGGGAGCAAATCTTTGCCACATGCACATCAGATAGAGCACTAATCTCTAAGATATATAAAGTACTCAAAAACCTTAACACCAAAAAAACAAATAACCCAATCAATAAATGGGCCAAGGAAAAATTTCTAAGAGGATATATAATCAATCAACAAACATATGAAAAATTGTTCAACATCTCTATTAGAGAAATACAAATCAAAACTACTCTAAGATTTCATCTCACTCTAGTCAGAATGGCAGCTATTATGAATACAAACAACAGGGCTGGGGTGGTGGCTCGGTGGTAGAGCACTTGCCTATGTGTGAGGCACCGGGTTCGATCCTCAGCAACACATATCAATAAATAAAATAAAGATCCATTGACAACTAAAAAAATTTTTTAAAAAAAGAATACAAACAACAATAAGTGTTGGCGAGGATGTGGAGAAAAAAAGGCACACTCATATATTCCTGGAGGAACTGCAAAATTGGTACAGCCAATCTGGAAAGCAGTATGGAGATTCCTTGGAAAACTGGGAATGGAACCACCATTTGACCCAGTTACCCCACTCCTGGGTTTATACCCAAAGGACTTAAAAACAGCATACTACAGGGACACAGCCATATCAATGTTTATAGCAACACAATTCACAATAGCTAAATTATGGAACCAACCTAGACACTCTTCAGTAAATGAATGGATAGGGAAATGAATCAGTACACAATGGAACATTACTCAGCATTAAAAGAGAATAAAATCATGCCATTTGCAGGTAAATGGATGTAGTTGGAGAATGCAATGCTAAGTGAAGCAAGCCAATCCTAAAAAACCAAAAGCTGAATGTTTTCTTTGATATGAAGATGCAGACACATAATGGCGATTGGTGGGGAGCATCGGAGGAATGGAGGAACTTTAGATAGGGCAAAGGGGAGGGATGGGAAAGGAGGGGGCAAAGGGGTAGGAATGATGGTGGAATGAGCTAGACATCATTACCCTAATTACATAAATAAGACACAAATGTTGTGAAAATATTCTGTGTACAATCAGTGTCTTGAAAAATTGTGCTCTATAATATGAAATGATTTGCATTCTGCCAACATGTATAACAAATCGGAAGGAAGGAAGGAAGGAAGGAAGGAAGGGAGGGAGGGAGGGAGGGAGGGAGGGAGGAAAGAAGGAAGGAAGGAAGGGAGGGAGGGAGGGAGGAAGGAAGGAAGGAAAGAAGTTTCATTATTTAAAAAAAAATAATAAAATAAGGAGCCAGTTGCAGTGGCACACACCTGTATTCCCAGCAACTTGGAGGCTGAGGTAAGAGAATCACAAGTTTGCGGCCAGCTTCAGTAATTTATTAAGGCCCTATGCAACTTAGCAAAAACCTGTCTCAAAATAAAAAATAGAAAAAAAGGGGCTGGAGACTAAAGTGCCCTGGGCTTAATCCCCAGTATCACAAAAGTGGAGTTTCCAGCTTATGTGACATATAATGAATGGTTAGCCATGTCAAATTATTTTTTTTTTTTTTTTGGCTAAATTTTTAACTTCAAATCCAATATATCAATTTTTGTTCTTTTATAGTTTGTTTGTGTTTTTTCCTAGAAATCTTTGCATATGCCAATGTCAAAAATATATTCACCTATTTGTTTCTAGGTTTATAATCCTTCCTTCCTTCCTTCCTTCCTTCCTTCCTTCCTTCCTTCCCTCCCTCCCTCCCTCCCTCCCTCCCTCCTTCCTTCCTTCCTTCCTTCCTTCTTTGATTGAACTCAGGGACACTTGACCACTGAGCCACATACTCAGCCCTATTTTATTTATAGACAGGGTCTTACTGAGTTGCTTAGCACCTCAGTTTCGCTGAGGTTGGCTATGAACTCAAGATCCTCCTACCTCAGCCTCTCAAGCCGCTGGGATTACAGGCATGTGCCACCACACTGGCTAGGTTTATAATTTTAATAAGAAATGCAATCATTCTTTTTAACTGCTACATTCCTCTCATCATATCTATTTCTAACTCTGAAATAACAGGACTGATAATTTGTCCTATTAGTTTATAAATTTTAGAATTACACACCAAGTCAGTATATAAACACCAAGTCATTATACATATACAAAACTATGCTCTGTAGTGGATTAAAAAAACCTAACACAACATTGTGCTGATCTGTGGTCTTTTTGGAGAAGCCTTATGGTATTATCTTTATTAGTAAGAAAAGAACAAATATACTTTTTAAAAAAAATTTTGTAATTGTAGATGGACAGAAAGCCTTTGTTTATTTTTATATGGTACTAAGGATCAAATGAACCCAGTGCCTCACAGATGCTAGGCAAGTGCTCTGCCACTGGGCTACAGCTCCAGCCTTGATATAATGTGCTTTTTAAAAGTCAAACTACAAAAGATGTTCCTGATGCGATATCTCAGAAATTATTTACTGAATGAGTAAACAATGAATTGATACTCACTTTCTCTTTCACATATCAAATAACTCTAGAGAGACTCTTACAAGATTTACAAGTCTTTAATTTACAAGTATAAACTAAAGAACTGACACACCTGGATTTCTTCACGTTCCTTTTTATCTGGAAAAGTTCTTGCAGCTGTAGTATACTTTTCAAAAACTTTACGCTCCTTTTGTAGTTTCCTCATTTCCTCCTTTTTAAACTCTTCTATTCGAGCCAATTCTTTTGCTTTCTGTTGCTCAAAGTCTGCAATTTCTTTCCTAAAATGACCAAACCATGTTATCATCTCAGAAGACCATCACAATATAGTAATTCACATCTAGCACCAAATGGAACCTGGTGCCAACCTAGGAAGTGCTGGTTTTAACGAGTCCATCTTCAATGCATAGGCCTGAAATATCAGCCAATCCACTCACTCAACCATTTATCCAACAAGCTTCACTGGGTGCTCACTATGAGTCACATATTCTACTAAGAAGTGGGAAACCAGAGTGAAAATAATAAAAATCCTTAAGTTTCTTACATTCTAATGGAAACACAGAAAATAACAAGATAAATCAACTATTGGAAGAATTAAGGGAAAAAAAATAAAAAGGTCAGGAAATATGAGGATGAGAAGTTGATATTTTGGATGGGAGCACATCTTGTTGCAAAAATATATGAAGTAAAACCTAAAGAAGTGAGAGAACAAGCTATGAGGATATCTGAACAGAACAGTACAGGGAGTGGGAGGAAATATCATGGGCTTATTTTTAAAAATTTTTTTTAGATGTTGATGAACCTTTATTTTATTCATTTATTTATATGCAGTGCTGAGGATCAAACCCAGTGTCTCACACATGCTAGGCAAGCACTCTACCACTGAGTTACAACCCCAGCCCTGGCTTATTTTTTATAAATGATCAATCTGACATACTTCCACCTCTCCCAGTAGAGAGATTTGACTAGACAAGAGAATATGAGATATAGGTTACAGATCTCAGTTGAGACATGGTTGGATCAGATGATATTTAAAACCTGAGGACTAGATGAACACAATAGAAGAGTAGAGAGAAAAGATAAAAAGATATTCACATTTGGGTGGGAGTGAAGCTTAGCAGTATATACTTAGCACCAATTCCCAGCACACACACACACAAAAAAAATTACATTTGACTGAATGTTCAGAATTTCTACAACATACAGAGGCAAAAATTAAGGGAAGACAAAAAAACCAAAGGACAAATGTTTTCTCTGATATGTGATGCTAAATCACACTGGGGGCAGAGGCTAGAGAAGAATAGTTACTTTAGATTAGGTAGAGGGGAATGAAGGGAGAGGAGGAAATAGGGGGATAGGAAGAATAGTAGAATGAATCAGACATCATTACCCTACAATGTATATAACTGCATGACCAGAGTGATTCTACATCATGTACAACCAGAAAAATAAGAAATTATACTCCAGTTATAATATGATGTATCAAAGTGTATAAATGCATTCTACTGTCATGTATAATTAGAACAAATAAAAAATAATAAAAAATTAAAAGAAGAATACTTGCAGCACTTTTGACAAACTTTAACGTATTTATTAGATTTATATAAAACTTCCTACAATCAGTGCAACAAAACTCCCACTAGAAAAATAAGCAAAGGTTACAAAGAAATTGACAAAATACAACACAAATGACCATAAATATTAAAATATGCTCAAAATTGTCAATAACCAGAGAAATGCAAATTTCAACAGATGAAAGATGATATAATTATGAGGTTGGAAAGATTTTTAAAAGACTGCTTAATACTCAACTATGGTGATGAGGAAAGAGGCCAAGAAGGAGCCTCAGATATGGATTAGGGAAGAGGAAGTTTTTGAAATTCATCATGAGAAAGAATATTCTTTATTTATTATTAATTTTTATCCAAAGTAGTAGGTAATTTATAACAGTTAAGACTGTAAACAAGCTAATTTCCACACAGATTGGTTGAATAAGTTATAGTGGCACCCATACAACAGTCATTTCAAGGATGCAAAAGATTAAACTAATGTGGTAAGAAGTCTATTATGGCTGGGTGTGGTGGCATACACCTATGGTCCCAGCAGCTCAGGAGACTAAGGCAGGAGGATCATAAGTTCAAAGCCAGCCTTAGCAACTGAGCAAGGCCCTAAGCAACTCAGTGAGACCCTGTCTCTAAATAAAACATTTTTAAAAACGGGGAGAGGTCTGGGGTTGTGGCTCAGTGGTAAAGCGCTTACCTAGCATGTGAGAGGCACTAGGTTTGATTCTCCATGCTGCATACAAATAAATGAATAAAATAAAAGTCCATCAACATCTAAAAAATATATATATAATTTTTTAAAAAGCTGGAGGGGCGATGTGGCTCAGTGATTAAGCAGCTCTGGGTTCAATGCCCAGTACCCCACCCCCCAAAAAAGTCTATTATACAGTTGAATTAAAAAAATTAAAGAACAAAACATATAAATAGAGCCAGGGGCTCAGTATCAAACTGCCTGGGCTGGCATTGTGGCTGTCACTTTCTAAAATGGTAAACTTGGACAAATGTCTTAACTTCTCAGTACCTCAGCTTCCTCATCTGTAAGATAGGAAGACTAACGTAATTCCTAAATTACGAGGGCTGGAGTTGTGGATCAGTAGTGGAGCACTTGCCTGGCATGTGTGAGGCCCTGGGTTCGATCCTCAGCACCGCATATAAATAAATAAATTAAAGATCCATTTACAACTAAAAAATATTAAAAAAAAAAAGAACTGAATGTTGCTTAGAACAGACCTTGGACTGGGGAGATAGCTCAGTTGGTAGAGTGCTTGCTTTGCATGCATAAGGCCCTGGGTTCGATCCCCAACACCACAAAAAAAAGAACAGACTTTGGCATGGTGGAAACTGTGAAAAAAAAATAGTCTTTATTTTATGATTTAAATGTTCTTTAAATAGAAAAATACAATTTTAAATAAAGTAAAGGGGGCTGGGGTTGTGGCTCAGCAGTAGAGCACTCCCTAGCATGTGCAAGGCCCTGGGTTCAATCCTCAGCACCACATAAAAATAAAATAAAATAAAGATATTGTGTCCAACTACAGCTAAAAATATATATTTAAAATAAATAAATAAATAAAGCATTTAAAAAGTTATTTTGGGGCCAGGATAAGGGCACATACCTGTAAATCCCAGATCCTGAGGAAGCTGAGGCAGAGGATCACAAGTTCAAGGCCAGCCTGTGCAACTGGACAAGAGCCTGTCTCAAAATTTAAAAAAAAAGTTTGGGAGGCCAGGTGCAGTGGTGTACACCTGTAATCCCATAGACCCAGGAGACTGAGACAGGAGGATCCCAAATTCAAGGATAGCTTCAGCAACTTAAGAAGATCCTGTCTCAAAATAAAAAATAAAAAGTTCTGGGGATGCCCCTGGGATCAAGCCCCAGGGCAAAAAAAATAGAGGCAACAAAGTACAGCCAGGTGTGGCAGCATGTACCTATAATACCAGCTACTCAGAAAGCTAAGGCAGATTAATGAGTTCAAGAGCAGCCTAGGTAACATAGCAAGACCGTATTTCAAAAACAAGAGGGAAGGGGTGGGGCTGTGGGGATGGGAAGGATGGCAAAATAAGGTAGACATTATTACTTTATATACGTGTATGATTACATTATTGGTGTGACTCAGCACCATGTACAGCCAGAGGAAGGAGAAGCTGTGCTCTATTTGTGTACAATGTGTCAATGCATTCTACTGTCATGTGTAACTAATTAGAACAAATTTTGAAAAATAAATAAGCAAAACAATTATATATTTAAAAAAGCAATTAAGGGGTTAGAATTGTAGCTCTGTGGGAGAGCACTTGCCTTTCATGTGTGAGGCACTGGGTTCCATCCTCAGCACCACATAAAAATAAAGGTATCGTGTCCATGTACAACTAAAAATATATTTTTAAAAAAGCAATTAAGGCGCTGGGGTTGTGGCTCATTGGTAGAGTGCTTGCCTAGCACGTATGAAGCCCTGCGGTCAATCCTCAGCACCACATAAAAAATAAAGGCATACAATAAACCTATAAGAGGCTGATGTTGTGGCTCAGCAGTAGGGCGCTCGCCTAACTCCTGTGAGGCACTGGGTTCAATCCTCAGCATCACATAAAAATAAAAACAAAAATAAAGGAATTGTGTCCACCTATGACTAAAAAAATTTTTTAATAAAAATAAAAAAATAAACCTATTAAAAAAGTTATCTCATTAAAAAAATCAATTTAAGTACAGGTACATACTAAAACATGGGTGAACCTTGAATATCTTATGCTAAGTGAGAGAAACCAGACACAAAAATTTTTGTTTTCTTTTTCAGTGCTTGGGATTGAACACAGGGCCTCATAGCATGCTAGACAAGCACTCTACCATCAAGTCACATCTGCGGCCCTGTATGACTCATTTTGAATGAAATATCCAGAATATGTAAATGAATACTGACAGAAGGCAGATTAATAGTTGCCAGGAAATGGGAGAAGGAAGAAAATGGGAAGCAATTAGTTAATGGGTATGGAGTGTCTTTCTGGAGTAACATATATTTTGAAAATAGAGACAAATGGTGGTTGCATAAAACTGTCAATGCACTAAATGCCACTGTACCATACATTTTAAAATGCTTAATCGTAAGCAGTATGAATTTCACCTCAATTAAACATTAACATATTCAGGCTCTGTGACACATGCATGTAATCATGCAACACAGGAGGCTAAGGCAAGAGGATCTCAAATTCAAAGACAGCCTCAGCAACTTAGGACCTAAGCAATTTAGCGAGACTCTGTCTCAAAACTGAAAAAAAGCGGGGGGGGGGGGCAGTTGGAGAGTAGCTCAATGGTAAAGTACCCTTGGGTTTTGTTTTGTTTTTTTTCCTTTTTTTTTTTTATTTTTTATTGTTGGTTGTTCAAAACATTACATAGTTCTTGATATATCATATTTCACACTTTGATTCAAGTGGGTTATGAGCTCCCATTTTTACCCCTTATACAGATTGCAGAATCATATCAGTTACACATCCATTGATTTACATGTTGCCATACTAGTGTCTGTTGTATTCTGCTGCCTTTCCTATCCTCTACTATCCCCCCTCCCCTCCCCTCCCCTCCCCTCTTCTCTCTCTACCCCCTCTACTGTCATTCATTTCTCCCCCTTGTATTATTTTTCCCTTTCCCCTCACTTCCTCTTGTATGTAATTTTATATAACCCTGAGGGTCTCCTTCCATTTCCATGCAATTTCCCTTCTCTCTCCCTTTCCCTCCCACCTCTCATCCCTGTTTAATGTTAATCTTCTCATGCTCTTCATCCCTACTCTGTTCTTAGTTACTCTCCTTATATCAAAGAAGACATTTGGCATTTGTTTTTTAGGGATTGGCTAGCTTCACTTAGCATAATCTGCTCTAATGCCATCCATTTCCCTGCAAATTCTATGATTTTGTCATTTTTTAATGCAGAGTAATACTCCATTGTGTATAAATGCCACATTTTTTTTATCCATTCGTCTATTGAAGGGCATCTAGGTTGGTTCCACAGTCTTGCTATTGTGAACTGTGCTGCTATGAACATCGATGTAGCAGTGTCCCTGTAGCATGCTCTTTTTAGGTCTTTAGGGAATAGACCGAGAAGGGGAATAGCTGGGTCAAATGGTGGTTCCATTCCCAGCTTTTCAAGAAATCTCCATACTGCTTTCCAAATTGGCTGCACCAATTTGCAGTCCCACCAGCAATGTACAAGAGTACCCTTTTTAATCCCCATAACCCCCACTCAAAACAAGATATATGTACATGTTCAGTTGAGGTTTTGCTGCCCAATAAAATCAGGTCAAATAATGACCTAGGGTAGAAAACTGCATTTGTCATACCACTGACTACAGTGGATAAAGTTGTGGCCTTCCAATACAGTATGGTGAAGCTCTAACCCTATGAGTATGACTTTATTGGAAATAAGGTCTTTGCAGATATAATTAACATATATGTTAAAATGAAGTCATACTGGAGTAGGGTGGACCACATTATAATGTCCTTATAAGAAGAGAACAAAAGTAGAATGAAGCACACACAGAGAGGAAAATGTCATGGGAAGACACTAACACAAAGTAGGAACATGGCCATGTAACTATGGGGTAGAAATTAGAATGATGCTGCTGTAAGCCAAAGAACACCAAGGATTGCCAGCCATCCCAGAAGCTAGAAGAAACAATATGGCCTGGCAGATGCTTTGATGTTGGACTCTTTAAAATCTTCAGAAACATAAGAAAATAAGTTTCAGTTGTTTTAAACTACCCAGTTATTTATAGACATACCACCCTGAATGCTCCCCATCTCATCTAAATCTAAACTACCCAGTTTTCAGAATTTGTTTCAGCAGCCCTAAGAAACTAATACACTAAAAAAAAAAAAAAAAAAAGAAAGAAAGAAAGAAACTAATACACTAAGCAAGTTACTACTTGAATTCATGGCCCCAAACTGCTTTTCAAATTTCAATTTATGATCTCACCACCATGAGAATATCCCTTTTAACACATCTGACAATGTTGGGTCACTTTATTTAATAAAATAAATCTTATAAAACACAGACTTCACCTCCTTTCCATTTAGATTTCTTGAACTGATTTAAAATGTTTCAAATATTTTAGATACAATTGTAAATATATGATTACATCACTGCACATTTTTTTCCCTCAACTCATAAAGGCAACTTACCTGAGTTTTTCCAAGGCACTTTCTCGTTCAATGCGAAGTTTAGCTAAAGATGTGTTCTCTGCTTTAAATTTTTCTATTTCTGTTTCCAATTCAATAACTTTCTCTCTCAACATCTGGGATCGAGCATTGTCACCTAAAAAACAGGCCATAAATACTGACTTCTACGTAAGGCTTAAAGCAGGAAAAAAATCTATCTAGCTACTAATACTAAAAAACCAAGAATATGTAAACCCATGTGCCATTAAAATGCATTTGAAACAAAGCTTGCCTAACTTTCTAAAGAAAATCAGTCTGAATTTAAGAATTAATCTAACTCAAGAATATTGTCTTAAAAAGTATTGTCTTAAATTATTCCTGAGATCTAAAAAGCTAATCATTCCAAAATCAAAGTTTACCCCACTACTAAAGAAATGCAAATTAAGACACTTTTCCCCTTATCAAATTTGCAACTTATTTGAAAAAAAAAAAAAAAGTATTTCTGTTCTTCATTTGAAACAAGCATTTTAATATTTGGTACTACCCTTTCAGAAAATACTTTTGATCTAAATCATAGGCTAGAAGGATGAGCAAATTAAAATATATGTCTTTTCGCATTAAAAATACATAGGAACCGCACTGGTGTATGCCTGTAATCCCAGCAGCTTGGGAGCCTGAGGCAGGAGGATCACAAGTTTTTGAGGCCAGCCTGAGCAATTTAGTGAGGCCTTAAAGCAACTTAGTGAGTCTCTGTTTCAAAATAAAAAATAAAAAGGACTGGGGATGTGCCTAACTGGTTAAGCACCCCTGGGTTCAATCCCTGGTACCAAATAAGAAATTAAAAAAATATATATATAGGAAAAATGACTGGAAGCAAATATCCCAAAATGGCACAGTAGTTACTCTTGAGAGTATAGTTATGGATATTTTTATTTCTTTTTAACTTTCAAACTTCCTCTAAAAAGTGTTACATTTAAAATGAGAATAATTTTTACAAATAATTTAGCTATAATTTATATTTAAAGAACCAAATGCTCTGCTAGGTATTCATAGGTTATGTGACAATATAATGGAAAGAAGTTTTTTCAATGTTAAGTTTGAAAACCCCATCACATTAACACAGCCATTAAACAGAATGAGGCAGATATGCATATGTTAGAATAATCATCAACATTTATCATAAACATCCTTGTCCAGAGTACACAGTATACTCTGCCCACCCATCAGTCATGTAGTAGCCATCTAGGTTAGGGGATTTATTTTCCTTAATAATGGCCCCAAAACACTACAGTAATGATGAAAATTTGGATATGCCAAAGAGAAGCCACAAAGTACTTACTTTAAGTGAAAATTATGTGTTATAAGAAAAAACAGTATATAGAGTTCAACACTATCCAATTTCAGGCATCCACCAGAAGTCTAATGGGGGGGAACTACTGTACTTTATTCCTTCCTGGTCATGTTTGACAAGTCAATGCAAGTGGTTAAAAAGAGAGTCATGGGAGCCAGGCATGGTGGCACATCTGTTATCCCAACAACTTGGGAGACTGAGGCAGGAAGACTGCAAGTTGGAGGACTTAGCAAGACCTGGACTCAAAATAAAAATGGACGGGGGGGATGTAGCTCAGTAGAGTGCCCCTGGGTTCAATCCCCCATTACCTAAAAAAAAGGGGGGTGGGGGGCAAGGGTGTAGTTCAGTGGGTGGTAGAGTACTTGCATGGCATGGGCAAGGGTCTGGGATCAATCCCCAGATCCAAAAAAAAAGAAAGAAAGAAAAAGAAATCCAAAAGAACAGTTCATCTGAATCTCTTATCCTAGAGATTATGCTAGGCTATTTAGAACCACAAAATTTTTAATTTCATTTTTAAAAAAATCACCCAGTAATTAAACTTCCCCATTAATGTTAACTTTAACATTCTAATACATATTTTATAAGTTTTGACTCACCAGGTGGCTGATCTTGATTCATGTTTAATTTGGGTTCATTTCCTAAATGTGAATCTGATTTTGTTTTAGGTTTCAAAGACGGGAAGAATTTCATCATCAGATCTGAGGTAGGAGGAGGACTTCTACTCCTACGAGACTTGCTTAAGTCTTCTCCCTTCTTGACTGGTGCTACCTTCCTTTTAATTGTTTTGTCCATAACACATATTTCACTTTTATTAGGGTAGCAAGTCTGTGTCATTCCATAAATGGCTTCATCCCCAAGATTAATGGCATGTTTACATGAATTCTCTTCAAGGTCGGTCCAAGATCTTTCATCGTCAAAATCAATTTTACTCATACTTAGAAATGAGGGTCTTCTTGAGGGCTCAGGCACTTTATTCATGTTTTCTATTACAATAGACTCATCACTGCTATAATCTTTGTCAGACAAATCCAAATCAACATCTCTCCTTTTATCTTCTTGAGTCCTGGTATCCCTAATAGGCCCCTTGTCATTACAGACTTGTGGACTATCCTCTCCGTTGTTGAAACTTCTTTCTCCAGCCTCACTAGATGGTTTTATGGCAACATCAAGCTGCTCCTCAGAGTCAATGCTACTGTCACTATTTGTAACACCTTCATCATCACTTGCATCCCATTGCATTTGATTTTCAGAAGTGATCATCTGGAAGGCCTTCCTACTGATTTTACAAGAAGGTTCCCTCAATCCATCAGGCAAGGATGCTGAACCAAGAGATTTAGGTGTGACCTCACACTCCCTTTTACTTTCATGGGGAGGGTGATGGCCTGGATCCTCACCATGGTTATTCTGACTACTGGGATCCATCAGGTGTGTCTTTTCCTGCTGCACAGCTTTGACAGGGGTTGAAGACATCCGATGACCTTTGCTGATCTGTTGGTCTCTTTCTAAAATTTTCAGTACAAATGAAGAATTACTAGAAAATGATATTTCATCAGCAGCTTGCTCTAAAAATAAAAATTCATCCAATTCCAAATTTTCCTTTTCCTTTTCTCTTTCCCAATTCTCTAATTTTTTCTGAAGAGAAACATCAAGAGAAGATTCTGACTCCTTCACAATCTCATTTACTGGGCTCTTAGAAGCCATGCAGCTGACAGGTCCTGTTAAAAGACGCTGTCTGTCTTTCCCTTGTATCTTATTCCACATTTTGCAACCAGCATCACAGGGTTTTGTATACTCGGGTGCATTTTCTTTGTTATTAGATTGGACCTTTTTTTCTAGTTTAATTTGGTCTTTAATTTGCCCATCACATTTCTTCCCCATCTGTATTTTCAATACTGATGAAGAGAGATTTTTCCTATTATTGCTTTTAGGCACTTTAGGTTTTTGAGTGAGTGTAACAGAAGCAGTTTTGCTTCTAGCTTTATTTTCCTTTTTAAAAGTAGTATTCTCTGCACACAGTTCTTTATTTATAAGAGCAGTTTTCCGCTGGAATTGTTGTTTGTCTATTTTAAACACAGGGTGGTCCTCTGATGTGCTCTGGTTAGGCACTAGTTTACTTTCTTTCCCTTTTTGAATCTTAGATTTAGCATTAGTAAACCTAGCTAAACCTTCTCCTCGTTTTAAGAATGGTTGTTTGGGTTTTGCTTTTATTAGCAAAGGTTCTTCTGCCTCCTAAAATGAGAATATTTGAATTAATAATGATATATCCAAGTAATCTTAAAGTTACTATATAAATAACTATTGCCTTAGAATAACAATCAAAATAGTATAAATGCGAACCCTTAGCTGGTTTTTTTTCAGTTCTTGTTCTTCCAACCGAATTTGTTCTTCTAAATAGTCTTCAAATGTCTGCTTCCTTTCTCTAATGGCAGCTTTAATAGGCCTAATCATAAAAACAAAGTTAACACTCAAATCACAATATATGGATATTTTACACTCAGTGTGCCTCAACTACACTGAGAACTAATCTTTTTCAAAGTCAAGGACCAAGAGTTAGGAGTAAGCCCAGCAGTACAGCACACACTAAGTTCAAACAAGGCCCCTGGTTCCATCCCCAGCACCCAAGCAAACAAACACAAAACCCCCAAATTAGGACCTTCTTGAATTCTCCTTTGAGAATTTAATGAAAGCTACAATGCCTCACAAACCTGAAAAAAACAAAAATATACAATATTCTGCACATGATTTGGGAGATTCGAGAACACTTCTAAACTCCATCTACTGATTATAAAGTAACTTTTAATGTATTCATTATATAACTTTAAAATGGATTTTTAAATAGCTCATTAAATATGTATGTTTTGAATTAAGAAAAGTCCTTAACAATGTGAGTAAAGTCAAAGTCATTTTTCCCATATTATATAACATACTAAAATATTTCAAATATAAGAATAAACCTAAACTGCCTTAACATTTTAATTCTATAACTTAAATTGTGCAATTATAATTCATAAGTGACACCAAATGTGAGATTCCAATATCTAATTTTCCTCATCTCTAAAAAAGGATCTAACTATTTCAGAGAAAATTAATTTCATCCAGCTATTTCTCCTAAGGGAGGATATTTGCTCAGTTCTTCCAACACAATGTCAAAGCTACTTGAACTAATGTATCTCCCAACTCCATCTGTTGTTGACAGTATGTGATAAGTTTAGCCATCAACCTTATACTTATAAGCATATTCAAATGAAAACAAGCATAGAATCTTTAAAGAAAGTACTCAATAACAAAGGTTGTTATATTAAGCTGCGACATTTATTATTACTTTTCACATGAATAATACCTTTCTTCCATATTAACCACTTCTGAGGAATCATCAATCTTTTTTAAGTTCATATCATTCCCTTCCTGAATCTGTTCTGTTATTTTCTCCCAGCAAGATGAAATACCTTCTCCTAGGATAAAAATTAGGAATAATTTAGTTTAAAAAAAGGTAAAGTCTTAAAACATGAGAACTTAATAAGATACTATGCTAAAAAATATTTATTTGAAAGTAACATATGCTGAAAATGTTATGACACTCTAGGAAGTCTTCAATATGATAAAGAGAAGCTACAAACCAGACATGTAACCGCACACCTGTTAACTCAGCTACTCAAAAATGTAAAGCAAGAAGATCAGAAGTTCAAGGTCAGCCTAGGCAAGTTAACAAGACTTTCTCAAAATAATAAAAAGGGCTGTGGATAGAGCTCAGTGGTAGAATATCTGGGTTTAATCCCTAGTACCAGAAGGAAGAAAAAGTGGTGGCAGAATAAAAAAGATTAAAAAAATTCTAATAACCAAATATATGAATTTGATTGGATCCTGGTTTAAAAAATTTTTTGAAAGACATTTTTGGGAAAATAGAGGGAATTCCAAAATGAATTTAGATACTAAGGAATTACTGGGGTTTTTGGGGGGATACCATGTGATTGAACTCAGGGTGCCTGACCACTGAGCCACATCCCCAGCCCTATTTTGTATTTTATGTAGAGAAAGGGTTTCACTGAGTTGCTAGGCACCTCTCCATTGCTGAGGCTGGCTTTGAACTCACGATCCTTCTGCCTCAGCCTCCGAGCAGCTGGGATTACAAGCGTGCGCCACCACGCCTGACCTAAAGAATTACTGTTAATTTCCTTAAGTATAATAATGGTATTATGACTGTAGAGAGGAATGTTCTAATTTTTACTTGATACACACTGAAATATTTGGAATGAAGTACATATTACTTTCAGTGAAATGGCTCAGCAATTTTCATATATAGCTACAGATTAAAGATATACACATACCACATATATATTTACAAAGTAAGTATGGCAAAATATTAACCATCTAATCAATGCAATGGTCTTTGAACTTTTCTGGGTGTTTGGGGGGGAAAAAAAGGAAGTATGTTATGTAAAAGAAAAGACAAAGACATTTGAGATTTCCATATTGATAGAGTACTCTAGGAATAAGGCAATATATACAAAGGTAGGTAATCCTAAATGGTAGCCATAGACACCTTTATTGTGTTATTTGTATTTTTCTAATAACTTAATAGTACATTCACAAAAACACATTAAAATTAAAAAGTTTACAGGCTGGGATTGTGGCTCACTGATGGAGTGCTTGCTTAGCATGTGTGAGGCCCTGGGTTTGATCCTCAGCATCGCAAATAAATACATAAAATAAAGGTCCATCTACAACTAAAAAATTTTTCTTAAATATTTAAAAGTTTAGAAATACAGAAAACTTTTGACTTTCCACAAAGAATATTCAATAGATATATTATTTGATGACTAGCATAATGTCGACAATTATTACACTATGTTTATTGAGATTACAGGACATACTATAACACAAGAATAGTATACAATATTCATGATTGCAACAATACAAAAAAGGAGAGGAGAAAGGAGGCAGGAGCAGGGCTTTAAAAAAAAAAAAAAAAAGACTAGGGCTGGGGTTGTGGCTCAGTGGTAGAGTGCTAGCCTAGCACATATGAGGCCCTGGGCTCAATCCTTAGCACCACATAAAAATAAACAAATAAAATAAATGTATTGTGACCAACTACAACTAAAAAATAAATATTAAAAAAAAAAAAAAGACTAGCTTGGGATGTAACTCAGTGATGGAGTTCTTCCATGTGCAAGGCACTGGGTTTTATCCCCTGCATTGCTCCCACACCCACACACACACACACAAAAAAAAAAATACAGCAAAAATGCCAAGAGATCACCGTGAGTTTACATTATCAAACAATGAGTACCAGTTCTCTGGCACAAATGTGCTAGGTGCTCCAAATATAGAGGCATAGTGAAAACAACCACCTAGGTTAGAAGAAACCTCTTTTATAAGTAACTCCCAACACCAGCTACTCCTGTGTGTGTTTCTGTGTATGTGTGCACATGCGTACACGCACAAAGGATTAAACCTAGTGGCAACGTACCACTGATTTATATCCCTACTCCTTTTTGAGCTTCAAGGCCCAAGCTGGCCTTGAACTTTTGATCCTCCTGCCTCAGCCTCCCAAGTAGCTCAAATTATAGACATTGCTACCACCTCATTCAGTACCACCAACCTTATTCTCATGTGTCATATATTTCCAGGCAATCAAAAAAAAAAAAAAAAATGGTACATGCAGAACTCACTGCCTCCCTCTTTGAAAACCCTATGCTACCTACAGAGTCTGAAGTCAGCATGAGTGTCAACAATTACTCTTGGAAAGTCAAATTCTAGCCTGGCTGTTTGTCTCAGTGGCTATGTAGCATGTGGAACCTTACAATTAGAGCCACAGGGGATAGAAAAAAATGCAAACAAGCCTGCTCTTAGTTTAAGACAAAACTTGATAATTCTGTTAGTTTTTACGTAAGTAATTCACCTGTAGGATGGCTATGGTTTTCTTCCTTCAAATCATTTTTCTCCACAGCTGGTTCTTGATACTGTGACTCATAAAACAAATTTGGAGAAGCACTTTTTGAAGGTAAGACAAAATCTTGATGAGTAGCTCTACAGAAGTTGTTTTGTTCATCAGATAAAATTCTGCAAACATGTGCTTTTTCTTGGGTTTGGTTAGAGTAGATACATGATGGCAAGAAGGATGTGGCTTTCTCTCCAGCAGCTGAATTTACTGGAGATCTGTACTTCTGGTTCTGATCGTCAGGCAGTAAAGTCAAACCTTACAATTACGAAAATCAACAAAGCTAATGCCTTCCAGCAATATTTTCTTTTCTGCCTAACAGTAATCCCTACTCCACAAAATGATAAAGCAGCCAGATGTGGTGGCATATGCTTATAATCCCAGCAGCTCAGTGGGGGCTGAGGCAGGAGGATCAAGTTCAAAGCCAGCCTCAACGAAAGTGAGGCTCTAAGCAACTCAGTGAGATTTTGTCTCTAATCTAAATACAAAAAAGGTCTGGGGATGTGGCTCAGTGTTTGAATGCCCCTGAGTTCAATCCCCTGTACCCCCATCCCGAAAAAAATGATAAAAGCATTTTTTTCTCCTTATTAAGAAACAGCGTTTAACAAAAATCACAAAACCTTTCATTCCAAAGTGATCTTCACATAATTTGATGAGAACACTATGCTTTCTGTGCATATGCATGTACATGTGCACGTCAAAGGTGGGAGCACCAAATAACTCTGGAATGCATCACTGCAGCTGCCAACTCTGCAAACCTGTGACAGTCACAGTTCAATACCAGTGCAGAGTTATGATCTGAGTCATTTCCTAATTAACAATAACTGCCTATAGTTTCTCCCCTTAGGCAACCCTTGAAATCTTATATCCTTGGGTGGTGGGTTTAAGATAGGAAAGAAATAAAGAAAAAGGAAACAAACAGGGAAAGAACTTTAAAAACTCCAAGAACACTTTCCCCTTCACCCTCAAACCTGTTTTCCTCCAGGCCTGAATTCTTAAAGGGTCCAATAAATCTTAGAGTACTGTAAATCCCATTAATTAATGCCTATATACCTTCTGTGCTTGCAGGATATATTTTTATACTAATTAAAGAGATACTATAGAGAAAGATACTGTAAAAACCATGACATAGGTAGTCTAAACACTACCAATTAGATGTCAATCTAAAGATTCTGAAAACAAGACCATCATGACCCACTCTGAACTCCACAATCAAAAGAAATGAGCCGATGTCATCCCACATTCTTTCAAACTCAGCTTATAGTTTTCTTCCTTCCTCCCTTCCTTCCTTCTCCCTTACTCCCTCCCTCCCTCCCTTCCTTCCTTCCTCCCTTCCTTTCTTTCTTTCTTTCCCCCCAATACTAGGGATTGAATCTAGGGGCGCTCTACCACTGAGCTACACCCTATACCTACACCCTTTGTACATTTTAAGATCGGGCCTTGCTAAGTTACTTAGGGCCTTCCTAAATTGCTGAGGCTGGCCTTGAACTTGCAATCCTCCTGCCTCAGCCTCCTGAGTCACTAAGATTACACCACACCTAGCTACAAAATTTCCTTTAAAAGAAGTCTGAAATCTCCAAAGCACATCTCACTCTCAAGCCTCAGCACTCCCTCTTCCCTTGAATGTGTATTCTCCTGTTATTTGCTTTTTCTGCTGTGTCTCTTGACACATCCTAAAATTCCTTTCTGCAGTGTAAGTCAAGAACCTGCCAGGGCAGAGGTGAGGTCCCTTTTCCTTTCTGGAGCACTTCCTTGGACCCCCACATTCAGTGACAGATTCACAGGTGACTTTTTCCTCATTTTCTAAATTTCTTGGACTATTTTTTTGTTTTGTTTTGTTCCGTAAGTCTCTGCTTTTGAAGTAACCCAATAAACAGAGTCTGCTATATATCTCTAACCTTCACTTCTTAAAGAAGTCATACCAACCATCCTACCTACTGCACCAACCCCTGAAATTCTGCTGCCAGTTCTGTGTTCTCCTGGACTGCCTCACCTAAATTTGGGAGTAAAGACATAATGGGAAGTGTTTTATACAACAGTGGATACCATTTATCACTTATCTACCTCAACTTCAGTCCACAAATAAAACTAGAAAATCAGGTAGGCCCCACAAAGTATCAGCTTCAACCTTTCTTCCTTGATAGCAAATATTCCTCACCCTATTCTAAATATTTTTGACCAACAAACATCTCACTGCAATCTGAAGAGGTTTTTGGCAAAATACTGCTCTAAAGCAATAAATTCTCCATGTGTGGTCTGTTAACTCCCTAGAGGTCTCTAAGACTATTTCAGGGTACTCGCCAAATCAATATTTTTTTCATAAAATATCCATTGATGGAACAAAAGCAAAATGAAAAATTGCTGGTACATCATTCAAGGCAAGACAGTACCACCCAACTATGCCAGTTGTAGTGTCACTGTTATTTGCCCCCCCTGTATAATCACAATCTTTAAAAAAAAAAAAGTTTTTACTTAAGAATGCCCTAAGCAAAATAGACATGGTGGCACACCCCCATAATCCCAGTAACTCAAGAGGCTGAGGCACAAGGATCACGAGTTTGAGGGCAGCCTCTGCAATTTAGAAAGATTCTGTCTCAAAATACAAAACAAAATGAATGAGGATATGGCTGAGTGGTAGAATTCCATGCTTTATGAACACTGTATGAGACAAAACGGGAAATACATATAAATCAAGTCTGCTGCAAACCATGAATTGACTTAAATTGAGCTGCAAGCTCAACCAGCCACTTCTTCCAAGGAACACACTTTTACTTGAAAGAATGAATGAGACAATCTATGGTTATTTAAACCTGAATATTTAGCATACATTTTCTCAAAAAGAAACAAGGTACATATAAATAGCTCACATTATTTGTTGCCAATAATAAAATTTGACCTCTCAAATAAAAATCAGAATTCTGGAAAACATATCCACCATCATGAGTTTGAAGGATATTTTATAATACTTCAAGACTTTGAAGATGAAACTGGCAGTGATATTAATGAGTATAATTTTTTGTATTGTGTACTGAGATGTCAACATTTTGAAAACCAACATAATTCAGTGAATCATTATTTTCCAAAATGATCAATGCCCTAAATCATACATGATTAAAAAAACTAATCAAAATGTCAAGATATTCAATTTATTTAACAGTATATTTTAAAATAATAGGACACAACAAATTGATTAATATGGTTTCAGATTCCTACTGGGAATAACCACTAAGAAATGACCATTTTTTAACATGCAGTATCAATGAAGAATATCCAGAATTATCTGAAAAGACTATTAAAATACTCCTCTTTTTCCAATTAGTTATCCACATGAAGTTGAAATTTTTTCAAATATTTCAACCAAAACAACATAATTCAACAAACTAAGTTGCAAAATTAGGAAGAAAATCAGCTGAGTTCTATTAAGCCAGAAGTTAATGATACTTTCTAAAATAGAAAATAAAAATAATGCCTTTCTTCTCACATTATTGTCTTAGAAAATAATTTTCATTTTAAAAATGCTATTTTTAGTAAAATGCAACTGGTTTATTATTCCAAGTTAGTTTAAAATGTCTTAGTATTTCTAATATAACTACTTATGGTTTGAATGGTTAATGTCCCCCTAATGGCTCATAAACTAAAACCTTAGCAGCCTGTGGTTCTGTTGGGAGGTGCTAGAACCTTTAGGAAGTGGGACCTAATGAAAGGAAGTTAGGTCACCGGGTGCATGCATTCAAGAGGATATTGGGTCTATGGCCCCTTCCCCTCTTCCACTCACACTCTCTCTTCCCTCCCTTCCCACTCCTGTCTGGCCACTATTAGATGAGCAACTCTTACAGTATATAGGCTCAGAGCAATACAATCAAGTCATCATGGCCTTGAAAAACACCAAGAGGAGGAAAGAGGTTTTGGATTGCAAGAGATCTCAGTTTGATCACCACATCTACTATTTATTAGGTATGTGACCAGGGGCAAGTAATTTAACTTCTCTCAGGCAAAGCTCCTCCTCCAAAACCTCTGAAACAGTAAGCCAAAATTAACATTTTCACCTGTAAGTTGTTTATCTCAGATATTTTGTCATGGTAACAGAATACTAACACAGTAACTTATTAATAAATATAGCCCATAAGGCTGGGATTGAGGCGCAGTGGTAGAGCACTTGTCTAGCAAGTGTGAGGCACTGGGTTCAATCCTCAGCACCACATAAAAATAAATAAAGGTATTGTGTCCATCTACAACTGAAAATAAAATATAATAAATAAATAAATAAATAAAGCCCATAGAGCAAAAATTCTTTAGGATCTTCAATAATTTAAGAGTATTAAGAGGTTCTGAAACTAGAAAAGTTTGAAAATCACTGCCCTGCATAGCTCAGTTGTAGAACATGTACTTGACATGCACAAGACCCTGGGTTCAATCCCTAGCACCAAACACACAAAAGAAAACACTGCCTGCCTCAAAGCAAACTGTTCAATAACTGAATGGGGCCAGTTCTGATACCAGTAACTATGACATGTGCTTCCCTATTACTCCATAGCACTAGTCTGCAATAAAAAGTACCACAGTCTATTATTTATATGATCCTATTATTTTCTTATATTCCATAAAGCCCCCTAAAACCTTCTTCACCTGTTATAGTTTTTCATCATCACTCACCCCACTCCCACCCAGCCACACTCATTTGCCAATGTCTTTTCTTCTCCATTTTCTCAATGTCCAGTTCAATCTCTATACAGAACAGGCTCTTTCCTGAACCAGTAAAATGTGTACCTTTGAAGACAGCAGCAAGAAGCATACACACTTTTCAAACTGTGGAAGACAATTCATTAACAATTTTATCATCAGACCCAATAAGTTACTGCTGACTTATTTTTTTAAATGACACAGAATTAGAATAAACAAAATAGAAAATATCCCTCTACATCACCAGGCACACCAATAAAGATTGATAATATAAAATTTACTTGTCATTATGAGTCCTGACTGAAATGTTTTCGCTACTATGGAATGTGGTCAAAAACTTTTAAAAACACTATTCCAGATCACATTTTAACAAGTTATTTTCCCTCATAAGCTCATGATGCTTTCTGTTAACAGAATATTATCATCTTTAACCACATAACAAACATTTTGGGTATTGTTCTTCATTTGAACAGAGTGGCTTCTATTGTTTACTGACCATTCTATATGTTTAACTTTACTGGCCTCTAATAGTTTTCATTCATTAGGCAGGGGATGCATACCAGTAGCTCTAGCCAAACTGGGCTCTTTTTTTTTTTAGTTGTTGGGGTTGGACCTTTATTTATTTATATGTGGTGCTGAGAATTGAACCCAGGGCCCGACACATGCTAGGCAAGCGCTCTACCACTGAGCTACAGCCCCAGCCCTTTTTTCTTAATAAATTGACTGATAGGTGTGGTTCAGTAGTAGAGGGCATACTTGACATACACAAGGCGCTGTGTTCAACCCCAGCACCCAAATAAATAAATAAACAAATATGAAGGCCGTTGAGCAGACCACATGCACCCCAGAATGCCAGTTCCCACTAATTTCATTCATATTACACTACTCCCATATTTCACTCTGATCTGTCTGACCCCTGAAGAAACTGGAGTTTGTAACATATGATAGGAATGGTAGAAATCACCTGTCAGACTACTAAAAGAAAGAACTGTGTGAAACTGTTTCTCATCCTATTAACTGAAGGCCCTGTGTAAGCAAAACATACCTGGAAGCATGTGCTGCCCAGACACTATAGTAAGCAGCTTTTCTTGTTCTTCCATGAGCCTTTGTAGTTGCTCTAACTGTTGCCTCTTCAGTTGTTCTTGCTTCTTCTGTTGTACTTCCTTCAGCTTTTTAAACATAAAATTAACTATTAAAGGAGCAAAACTTTCTTCGTGGACACTTGCTCCTTACATTTATCTCACTCCTTCCCATTTCCCTTCTCCTGTATTCCCTCATAGGGAATTTCAGAGAGGGATCCCCTCAGTAAATAAGTCTGCCACCAAAACTCTAAAATCCAATTTCTTCTGAGCAAATTATGTCAGCTATCTCACCTAAGAAACAAAAAAAGTCACATGAATCCTCCAAGTCTTACAATAGGATGGGTATTCAGGGCATCATCAACTTTTTTCTCCTAGTGTTTGAACAACCATTTCTAATTTAGCTCTCATTATAAGATACAACTTAAAGAAATAAAGTTTTATATCTTACATATTAAATAATCTTTAATGTTGCACATTAGACAAAAGGCAAAATCTAGTATTTTGAGGATTTCAGAATAAAAGGGAAAAATAAGAGGATCTGGAACAAATAACTTATAATCATATAATACCTGCAATAACACAAACACATATAAGGCCAAATTCTATTATACCTGTTCGAGTTTTTTAAAAAGTGGGTCTTTATAAGCCACTTGTTGTAATTCACTCACAAGATTGGGAATAAAGTCATTTTTATTATCTTCCTGGTGTTCAGAAGCATCCTGGCATGCTACTATTTGTGGTTCCTTTTTAACTAAAGGAAAGATTGTATGGACTTCAGATTTTTCTGACTGTAGTTTAAAAAGGCCATCAGACTCCAATTTCTGTTCTTCATGAAGTGAATCTTCTTCACTAATAAAACTGAAGCTCTTTGAAAAATATGCAGCTTTAACAGGAAAGCTGGTAGAAGCATTTGTAGCTGTTTGCTTATCTTCATCTGTTTCCAAAATAGGAAATCCACGATTTAATATGACCCCAGCCCGAGAAGGATTGGTCATCCATTGGGTTAGGAAGTTCTGCCCACTGTTTAACTCTGAAGAGGCTGGCATCAGGAACATTTTAGTCAAATGACACTATTATATTTAAATAATGGAAAAGTCAGAAGAGCTCTTGATTTTCAATACCTACAGACAAAGACAGGCAACAAAAAGTATTAGTTAAACCTACTAGAGTTCTACCCAAAACTAGCCCAAATCTCAACCCACCACAAAAGGCTTAAGTCAACAGAGCAACTGGGCATTAAGTTACATGGGTTTTTTTGTTTGTTTATTTTTGTCTTCAAAATATCCAAATTGTATAAGAAAACCTGCGATCCCTCTGCTCTAAATATTCAATTACTAATGACATTATTATACAAGTGCTAGATCAGTTGACCTTTGGAAGCTAAGAGACACTGTTTAAAAAAAAAAAAAAAATATATATATATATATATATATATATGAGTGAAATCATTTTTAAATGATTTCTTATATATATTGCCTTAAAAAAAACTTTTTTTTTTTTTTTTTTATTGTGGTGGCGGAGAAAAAACCCAGTGCCTCACACATGCTAGGCAAGCACTCTACCACTGAGCCACAACCCCAGCCAGGAAGCTAAGACACTTTTAAGTTACTCATTAAAAAAAAAAAAATCACTACCACTGTCATGTATTACCCACGTCATGTATTACCCACACTAAGCATTTTCTTGCTTCTTTGCCCAGCTGTTTTCTCCCTAGTTCCAGAAGGAAAGTTGTCACCACTACTACCATCAACACCACTACTCATAGCTTTACCTGGTACTGTTTCCCCAACTTTTCCTCCTCCATATCTCCCCAAAATCCCTTGCCCACTAGGCTGTCCCTCATTTGTATTCCTAAAGATTCGTGACTCGACTGTTTCAGCATTTATCTCAGTATTAGTAGCATTTTGCTTTCAAGTTCATACTCTACCAAACTGCGGAGCTCCTCCTAAAAAATATCTGTATATTTTCCCCCCGCCTAACACTATGCCTGGCAGACAGAAGGAACCTGATAAAAGTTTGCTAAAAGTAAGTTTAAAATAAATCATAACTCGGCACAGTGACACAGGCCTGTAATCCCACCAACTCAGGAGGCTGAGACAAGAGAATCTCAAGTTCAAGTCCAGGCTCAACATTATTATTTTTCTAGTTGGAAAAAAAATAAGCACAATCTTTAATTTCCAAACATGCACACTATTGAAGAACTGGAGATGCAGAAGTTAGTACTATGACCAGAATAGTGAAGGAAAAAAGACTAGAAAGTATGTCACAAGTTTCATACCAAATGGCAACTGTAATTTTCCACAGTATAACAGATTTAAAAAGCTATCTATTGCCAGGCGTGGTGGCACACACCTGTAATCCCAGCAGCTTAGGAGGCAGAGGCAGGAGGATCCAAGTTCAAAGCCAGCCTCAACAACAGAGAGGCACTAAGCAACTCAGTGAGACCATTTCTAAATAAAATACAAAATAGGGCTGGGGATGTGGCTCAGTGGCCAAGGGCCCCTGAGTTCAATCCCCAATATCCCCCCTCAAAAAAAAAAAATAGGGGCTGAGGGCATAGCTCTATGGTATAGTGAGCTATGGCACCCTAAAAAATAAAAATTGAAAAAATAAAGAAATAATGTTGAGATACTTTCAGCAAAAACAATTAACTCCTGATCTGTTTATTCTTAATTATAAAAAATTGATGAAATTAGCTATCTGCGTCAGAAATAAATATCCAACAAACAATTTAAAATAATTCTGAACAGGATCTAAACTTATAGCTTTGGCCAGGCATTAAAAACAACTGTACCAAAAGAAAGACGGCTGAAAATGTGGTTCAGTGGTGGTGAATAGGGCACATGCCTAGTATGTGCCAATGCCCTGAGTTCAATCTCTAGCACTGCCAAAAAACAAAAACAAACTCGCACCAACAGAAAAAAGTAGGGAGAAAACATTTTTAGATGGTGAAAAAATAAATAAATTCATAAATTTATAAAGATAAATGAGTTCATTTGTCTGAAAATTATGAGATTTAAGAAGATATTTTAATTATAAGATTAAAGAAGACATTTTATATATAGTTAAGTAACCAAAGAATTGTTCATGAACCCTTATAATATGAACTGATTCAAAACTGGAAAAACTACTTTTCTTTAGTTTTATGAGGGTGGTGCAATAAGAGAAACTGACCAAGTTAGATACATCTTTTCTCAAAGATCATCTACATTTACAAAGAAATGTTATCTATTCATAGCCTCAAAAATTGAATTTGTGGGGCTGAGACTGTAGCTCAGTGGTAGAGCACTTGCCTAGTATGTGTGCGATACTGGGTTTGATTCTCAGCACCACATAAAAATAAATAAAAATATTTATAGGTATTGTGTCCATCTACAACTAAAAAAAAATTGTTTTTAAATAAAACAAACTGAACCTGGGAATAGATATTTTAATATTCTAACAAAGAATTCCAGCTAGACATGAAAATTAGTTCTCACGACAGATTGTCTATTAGGAAAAATCTGGATTTAACTAGACACAATGGCACACACCTGTAATCCTAGCTACTTAGGAAGCCAAAGCAAAAGAATCATAAATTCGAAGCCAGCCTCCACAATTTAGAGTCCCTGCCTCAAAGTAAAAAAATAAAAAGGGCTAGTCAGTCATAGAGCACCCCTGGGTTCAACCCTCATTACCACATACACACGAAGGGAAAAAATGCTGGATTTATGGATTTAATGAAATTTTTAAACAAGAGACTGCTTTGTAGCTTCATTCCACTGTATGATATACACTGTGCTCAGTTTTCTGAAGCAGAATCCATGAACAGTATCGTGGACAGAGATGTTTAAACTTTTCAGTACATTTAAATGCTATGAATCACCAGTTTATAGAACTGTTAAAAGAAATGGAAGACAGTGAACTTAATAATATTGGTTTGGTTTGGTTTGGTTTGGTACTGAGGTTTGAACTCAAGGGTGCTTAATCAATGAGTCACATTCTCAGCCTTTTTTATTTTTTGAGGCAGGGTCTCACTAAATTGCTTAGGGACTTGCTAAATTGCTGAGGCTGGCTTTGATCCTCCTGCCTCAGCCTCCCAAATTGCTAGGATTACAGGTATATGCCAATGGGTTGGCCAATGATACTGTTTTGGTTTTTTGTTTTGTTTCGGCCACTGCTCCCTGGTTGAGTTGTGAGAGGGCTTTTACAAGATTTAGTGCATTATTAATTCCTACTATCAACTAAAGGTTTTCTTAAAACAAAAGGAATGCTTGCCAATCATTCAATTGTCAAAGACAAAAATGTCTGTGGTTTATGTTTCCTTACATTGATACCACACTTTGATAACCACAGCTATTTAAGCATTGCAATAAATAAAAAAACAACTAGCTAGGCTTGGTGGGGCCAGGCCTATAATCACAGTGACTCAGGAGGGCTGAAGCAGGAGAAACTCCAGTGCAAGGCCAGCCTCAGCAACTTAGCAAGGCTCTTAAAAAAGACTGGGGATGCAGCTCAGTGGTAAAGAGCCCCATGGTTCAATACCCAGCACAAAAAAAAAAAAAAGAAAAAGAAAAAGAAATAAAAACTGCTGAGGGCAACAATATGGATGAGTAATGATGAATAAAAATTAGACACAAATATACAGTGTAAGTTTCCAATTACATGAAGTTCATAAAGAGGCAAAAAAAATCTTCAGTTATAGAAGTCAGGATGGTGGTTATCCAGAAATATGGAGCTGGTATTGACTGCCAAAGGACTCCTGCCTTCAGGGAATATACACACTGGGCGGTACCCTTACCAATAGCACACTTTCCTGGATATCTGTTGCTCCTATTTAGTGACTTGTAAAAACCTGTTCTAAGCAAACTAATTTTAATTATTTTTAGGTTGGAAACTAATCTTAAAAAAAGAACTTTTCATCAAAATCAGCCAGATAATCTTGGTTAAACTTCAATGACCTTAGCGGGAAATCTTTTGAAATACAAATTTAGAAGAAGACAAACTATAATGTCATTTTGTAACGTGGAAAATGTCAAAAATTCCCTACTAGACGACAGGTGGAATACAGATATGGGGCATCTTGACCCCATTTAAAAATACTGACTCACCTGAATATTCTATTACTGATACCTAAAATCAATAAAGCATAAATAGCAAAACATTTTTAAAGGGTTAGAACGTGTACTCAGACTTTCCACACATTAAAGTCTAAGGGACAAACTCATCAAACTGTTGAGCATCAGACATCCTATTTTTACTGTTTATCAATTACACCTCAGTAAAGCCGTTAAAAAAAAAAAAAAAACTGACAAATCGACAGACTTGAAGCCTCCAAAGAGTGCTATGTGAACTTTCTTTAAAACAGTGGGGGATAAAATAAATTCTCTACACTGGTAAGCGGGAAAACTGGTTAGAAACAGCATATTAAAATACACCCTCAGACCCGTGAAAAGCAAGTAGCTGGACTGAGGAGGTGTTTTGTCCCTATAAAATACAACACTTCCTTGAAGGCCACGAATTCACACAAAGCTTTCAAAGAGACGCCCTGACAAGGCTGAGCGAGACGGGCCCGATGGAGTGAAGCCACTCCACAGCCCATGCCGGAGCGGACGCAACTCCTGCGCGTGTAACAGGAGCCTCAAGTCTGCCCCAGTCCACGACTGAGACCCACCTAACCAAAAGGGAAGGCTCCCCAGGCTCTCGGAAGAACAAAGCAGCGCTAACCGAAGAAGCCTCTGAACTGCCACCGCTTGCCAGCGCCCGATTCCCTACGCGCCCCAGCGATACAGTGCCAAGGCCCAAGTCCAGCCCTTCGGTACACCCAGGCCCTCTTAAGGACTCGAGCAGCGGACAAGAGCTCCTCCGCTCCTATCGGCCACGAATTACCGATCAGCGAAGCTTCTTTGGTTCGGTCCACTCGAATTAACGACAGAATTAGCCCGGCATTTACAAAAGAGCCGCCACAATTACCGCGGCGGTCGGAGCCACGCCCCCGGACAGGTCCTGTCCCACCCGACCCGAGGGCTCCTGGGAAGTGTAGTTTCCACCGACCCCTTCGGGCTTTTGTACGGGCATCACTGCACCCACACAAACTACAGCTCCCAGGGACGCCACGCGACAGATGGTGCCTAGGGAATGGACTGCGAGCCGCCTTCCGCTCCGCGGAAGTTTGGTTGGGAGGGGTGGGGCCGGAGCTGAGTGAGAAAGACGTTTCGGAGAAAGACGTTTTGGAGAAAGACTGCGGAGGTCTGCGCTCTAGCCCAAAGCCTTTGAAAATTAGAGCGAGCACACGCGAGAGCTCCGAATTCCCTGCTGAGCAGGAAAGCCTAGGAGACCAAAGCTTATCTGGAAACCCACGATTTTTTTTTTAACCTTTGCTTTCCGTTTTGGCAGGATTTGATTTAATGAAGACCCAGTTTAGCCGGGCGTGGCGGCGCCTGTGTGTAATCCCAGCAGCGTGGGAGGCTGAGGCAAGAAAATCAATAGTTCAAAGCCACCCTAAGCAGTTTAGCGAGACCTGATTTCTAAATAAAGTATTTAAAAGGGGGGGGGCTGGGGATGTGCTGTCCATGGTTGGCCTCCCCTGGGTTCAATCCCCGGGCACCACGCCCCACACACCAAAAAAATAAAACGTTTAAAAAGGATGGGAGCTGAGCGTGGTTGCGCACCCTTGTAAACCCCACAGCTCCGGAGGCAGAGGCAGGAGGATCGCAAGTATGAGACCAGCCTCAGCAATTTAGTGAGTCCCTGTCTCAAAAAAAAAAAAAAAAAAAAAAAAAAACTTAAAAGGGGTTGGGGATGTAACTCAGTGGTAAAGCACGCCTGGGTTCAATCCCCAGTACCACTAAATAAATAAAAAGGGGCAAGGGAGGGCCTTGTGTCTGCCACACTATTTCATTAAAAAAAAAAAAATCCCTGTGAGAATTCACTCCAAAAATAGTCGTTAGCCATCTATCCTTAATGTGGCTAATAGGTAATTTGGCAATGCATGTCAATTAGGTATGAAAACTTTCTTTTGAACGCTAAAAGCACAAAACAAGATATATATTTTTTTATATATTAAAATAATAACAATTATTATTATTTATTTATTTATTTTTATTGCCAACAGAGTGCTTCATGGGTGCAGACAAGACACTTTAGGACAGTACAGCAGGTCAGGTTACCACAGTTTACATACCTGGCTTCGTGTGTAACAGTAGGGCTAGGGCTGTAGCTCAGTGGTAGAGTGCTTACCTAGCATGCATGAGGCGCTGGGTTCTATCCTCAGACTACATAAAAATAAACAAATAAAATAAAGGCATTCTGAATATCTACAACTACAAAAAATAAATTTTAAAAAAATCAAATGAGGTGTTATCTATAAGAATAAATATAGTAGTTGAAACAAAATACCACTGGTTAAAGATAACATTTCAGGGAGCCACCCCAATGGCTCATGCCTGTAATCCCAACTACTCCAAAGGCTGAGGCAGGGCTGCAAGTTAGAGAGCAGCATGGACAATTTACTGAGACCCTGTCTCAAAATAAAAAACTAAGCAGGGTTGGGTTGTAACTCAGTGTTAAGAGTGTCCCTGGTTTCAATACCAGGTATAGTGGAGTGGGAAAGGTCCTTCTTTCCTAAATCAAGATTTCCCTGCTTATCCCTCTGCCCTTCTACTTCCTCTTATAACCAAAGCCCAAGAATTCCAAGATTACACACTTGTTTCAGATGCTGGATAAGGACCAAAATTATCTTCATCTTCATTTCATTTGAAAGCATACCCCAAAATCATCTTTGTTAAAATATGTATTATTGAGGGCTTGGGTTGTAGCTCAGTGGAGAGCACTTGCCTAGCATGTGTGAGGCACTGGGTTCAATTCTCAGCACCACCTATAAGTAAATAAAATAAAGGTCCATTGACAACTAAAATGTATTTTAAAAAAATAGTATCGTTGAGGGAGTCACAACATCTTCTACTTTTTGTGCTGATTTTACTCATATGTTTATCCTAATATAGTAGGTAGTACCACATTGCTTGTTAATTTGATAAATGAATGTATTCTTTTATCACACTCAAGTCTTAATTGTTAAGGTTCTAATATATGTTACCATCATATTTAAAATTACCATATATTTTCAAAACTACTAAGCTTGAAGGGTCCTCCAAATCCATGACAGGATGGAAGGGAAAGAAAGGATTTCATTTTTAGTTGTAGTTGGACACGACATCTTTATTTTCTAAATTGCTGATGCTGGCTTTGAATTTGCAATCTTCATGCATCGGAGCCCTGAGGGCACTATCTCTGAATTGTTAAGAGCCCAGTTTGGCCCAGTTACCAGGTGGCTCACACCTGGTAATCCCAGCTACTTTGAAGGTGGAGGCGGGAGGATTGCGTGTTAGAGGCCAGCCTGGACAATTTATTGAGACCCTTTCTTAGAAAAAATAGGAGGAGGGTGCTGTGTATATAGCTCTGTAATAGAGTATTTGCCTAGAATATGTGAGTCTCTGGGCTCAATCTCTAGTACTACAAAAAAAAAGGAGGAGAAAAAAAAAAAAAAGATTCCAGACTTCGGAGATAAGCAATCTTGGGATCAAATTCTAGTTTGACAATTTACAAAGAGCTTTGTAGTCTTCAGGACTCAATCTTTCTGAAACTAGTCCTCTCATTTGCAAAACGGGGATGATAATAAAGTCATCTACTTCATAAAATTGTCATGAAGATTACATTAAAAGTATATATAAAGAGCACACAGTTCTAACTGTTGGCTGTGTGACTTCAGCTGCAGAGGATCTGAATTTGAGTGCCAAAGCCCAGCTGTACAGTTCATGTTAAATGGTGTACAAGATACAGAGCATGACTTATGATAGTACCAAATTAGTTGGTAATAATTTTTTTATTTTTAATTGACACATAGTAATGTGTACATTATGTTAATGTATACATTTACGCAGAGTAATTGGCATATCTCTTATCTGACATTGTCATTTCTCTTTTTTAAAGATTTTTAAAAATGTTTAGTTGTAGATGGACACAATACCTTTCTTTTATATATTTATGTGGTGCAAGGCAAGTGCTTTACCACTGAGCCACAACCCCAGCCCAGACATTCTCATTTCTTTGTATCAGAACATTTGAAATCCTCTCTACAAGGTGTTCTGAAATATTCAATTAATTATTGTCAATCATAGTTATCCTACTGTGCTACTGAACATTAGCAGTTATCCCTCCTATCCAGATGCACCTCTGTACCTATTAATCAACCTCTCACCACCCATCTCTCCCTCAACTGGACTGGTTGTTAGCACAAAAGGCCCAGGGCCAGATACAAACGTCGTGGATCAGTCAAAGTCTTTATTCAGGAACAGAATTACACCTCTGATGAACCCATTCTCCTGGTAGAAAATGAACCATCAGCCCAAGGGGGAGTCTATGCTTATATAGTTTACACTGAGAGGTGACTTAATTAATGAGCTTGTCAGTTTGGGTACTTTGGAATTTGGGGTCTATTTCATTGGGCAAAATTAGGGGAATCTAGGGTCGGTGATCAGTTTGGGCACTCAAGAAACAGGGATGTGAGGGCCGGGGTTGTGTCTCAATGGTAGAATACTTGCCTAGCATGCATGAGGCACTGAGTTGGATCCCCAGTATCACATAAAAATAAACAAATAAAGGTATTGTGTCCATCTACAATTAAAAAAAATATTAAAGGGGCTGAGATTGTGGCTCAGCGGTAGAGCGCTTGCCTAGCACATGCGAGACCTTGGGTTTGATCCTCAGCACCACATAAAATAAATAAATAAAATAAAGATATTGTGTCCAACTACAACTAAAAAATAAATATTAAAAAAATAAAAAATAAAAAAATATTTAAAAAACAGGGATGTGAGAATTTGAAAATTTGTTTTTATTGGGCAGTATTTTTATTTGGAGAAGAATGGAGGGTCTGGGGTCAGTGTTTAGTGTTTATCTCTTTCCCTTCAGGGTCCATTATACTGTCACTGGGAAAAGATTTATTTGGGGAAGGATCAATCCTTCGGCTCCCCTTCTAGGGATTGTTCTGTCACTGGGAAAGAATGAACTAGGAAAGGATCAATGCCATCAATGTGCTGCTTTCCTCTTCCCTACGTCTTCTTCCCAAGGCCACACTATTTTGGGGTTTGTCATTTTCCATACCCAACACTGGTGTTACCAGCAATTGCTCTACCAAAAGATGACAGAAGTGCAGGCCTGCCCTAGAAATGATCTCCAAACCCAGGTCACCCAGGATGGAAAGAGTAACTCCAGCAGTTGGGCGGGAAGCACTGAGAGATGCAAGTATCTAGCTCCTAGGCAAAGTCAAGAAAACCCATATGCCACTTCACCTGTGAGATGAGAGAGAAGGAGTTTCTCACCAAGATCCCAAACCTCAGATTTCCAGAATTTTCCATCAGTAAAAAAGTTTCTAACAATGTTGGATGCTAGAAGATGTCCTTTTTGATATTTTTACATTTAAATGCAGATAAAACTCATGCATTGAACTTGGACCAAAAAACTATGGAAACCTATGAGTCTACACAACAAAGAAATTATCATATTCACCACATTCTAGAATGTCTAACCCATAATTCAATTACAACAAAGGAGAATTCTGGCATGAATCTCCTGTGATAACAGCACAGTAATAACATAATGTTGACATACGTGAATTTTTAGTTTTTCCTTGAAAATAACAATTTAGGGGTTGGTTTATTTCATTTTCTTGTGTTTTTTTTTATGGTAGAAATCAAATCAAAGGCCCACTGCATGTTAAGCAGGTGTTCTACAACTAAGCTATATCCCACATCCTCAATAATTTAGATCTTTTTGTAATGTCTTATGGTTCCTTATATTTTCTTTAGTTTTTTATTTTGTCATGTTTTTTGTTTTGGGTACTGGAGATAGAATTCAGGGCCTCAGGCATGCTAAGCCAGCACTCTACCACTGACCTATATCA